GTAATGATTGATTTCTACTCTGAAGAATTTCAAGATCTCTACGCATTTTTTCACGTTGTGCTTGTGCTCTTTCACGATCTTTTCGCTCAGTTAAGACATCATCTTTAAACATTTCAGTCTAATGAAAAACATACAGACGTCATATTTAAACATTTCAGTCTAATGAAAAACATTAATAAATCATCTTTAAACATTTCAGTCTAATGAAAAACATTAAGACATCATCTTTAAACATTTCAGTCTAATGAAAAACATTAAGACATCACCTTTAAACACTTCAGTCTAATGAAAAACATTAAGACATCTTTAAACATTTCAGTCTAATGAAAAACATTAAGACATCATCTTTAAACATTTCAGTCTAATGAAAAACATTAAGACATTATCTTTAAACATTTCAGTCTAATGAAAAACATTAAGACATTATCTTTAAACATTTCAGTCTAATGAAAAACATTAAGACATCATCTTTAAACATTTCAGTCTAATGAAAAACATTAAGACATCATCTTTAAACATTTCAGTCTAATGAAAAACATTAGGACATCATCTTTAAACATTTCAGTCTAATGAAAAACATTAGGACATCATCTTTAAACATTTCAGTCTAATGAAAAACATTAAGACATCTTTAAACATTTCAGTCTAATGAAAAATGTTAATACATCATCTTTAAATATTTATCGACACTTTTTCTGCTTTCATTTAAAATATAAAACTATACAAAACTGCAACTGTTAATGTCACTTTCTTATTTATAGTTGACCATGCCTTCAGCAAATCTTGTACTGAAATAATAGTTTTGCCAATACCCTAATACCTTTCGATGGGCCAGACAATTTAGTGGGTTAAGCTTTTTGGTATAAAATTAACCTTTCTCAACTTATACCAATCCAACACTCCTAACACAAAGCTAGGTCAGGCCAAAACAAAAAAGATCTAGTGTTTGATGAAATGAGTGGCAAAAGTCACTCTTGAAGACAAACTTCAAATGTCAAGGTTGATGGCCTTACAAAAGCTCTACTCTACTTTTTTCCGCAACTACATGAGAATTTTTTGTCTTATTTGTCACAAATTTAAATTTATACTTGTTGTTTACCCCACCACAAAAAATTGAAGTATAATACTTGTCACCAGGAAGCTGCATTGTGATTTTTCTTACAAACTATTTTTATTCAACTATACTTTACAAATACATGTGCATTGCATGAGTTTTTAAACACTTTTTTCAAACAATTAAACAGTATGAAAACATTAATGATAGGCTGTCTGATTATTAAATGTAGATACACTCTTTATGACATAAGAACAGATTACTAGTGTAAAAATGGATTAAAAACTTTAACAATTTTTACCAGAAATATGGAGTCCCATAAAAGACTCCGTATTTAAAAGCCACAAAATGATTATTTCTTCCTGGTTTTTGGTATTTAGGAGCTCTAAAAATGTAATGATGCTATGAACTCAAGCTTACAAAATCTTACAATTTTAAAAAATGGACTCAATCTTACAGAAATATAAAGATGCTATGGATTATGTGTGGACTCCTTTCGTGAAACATCTAAGACTTTTAGGTTAGAGGAACAATCGATTTTGAACCCTTTATTAGTCCTAGTCTACAAAGACTCAGGACTCTGAGCTGCAAAACAACAGGTTCTGAGTTATTAAATCTCATGAATTTTTTCTTATCACAGATATAAGTCACTTAGCTTTATTAGAGCTCATTACTACCAGAGTCCTGGAAAAAATAATGATTTAAAGCCAGATTCCTTTTAGGACTCTACATCCCTGATTTTTACATAGTATACTTATTAAATGGTTTTTAGTATTAATTACTCCTATGACTCCAAAGTTTATTTATTAATATATAAAACAAGTAATATATTAAGGTAGTTTAATTTAGCTATTTTTTTTCAAATCTACAACAACCAATCCAAATATCAATATATCATTATATCAGAGTTATCTTTCTTCTCTGCTTAAACAATTAGTAAACAATAAAAAAAGTTTAAGCATTTAAAAAATGTTTTTGACTATAAAAAAAAAAGAAAGTAAAAATCATAAAACATTAACACGCTTTAATTTAAATTCAACTAAAATATGTTAAAATAAGTTTTAACTAAAACATATTAATACATAAAATATATTAAAATAAAATTTAATTTTAAAAGGAAAAAAATTAAAATAAAAAAAGTCAAAAAAGCCAAAAAACCTGCTGCTGCAACATTATAAGCTGTTCATGGTTTGGTAAACCGTGATCTTGTATCATTTTTTTAAGCTTTCGAAATTGATCACACTCTTGCTCAAGTTCATTCTGTATACGACATAACTCTTCATTTTTCATCTAAGTGCAAAACATTGCAATAATAAGCATAAAAAAATATTTAACTATGACATATCAAATAAATTTTGAAATATTAAGTTATTATTTACCAAATTTTGAAATTACACTGTGATTATTTTTACCCCTGGGATTATTTTTAAAAAAAAAAAAATTTAAAAGAAATTACATTTGTTTGTGCACTACTGGAATTTGTTTGAATTTTTTATCTTTAATAATTTGCTATTTTTGTTCAGCATTTGTGTCTTTTAAAATTCAAATAAAATTAGTAAAAATAACACAAAAAAAAAAAATTATCAAAAAAAAAAAAAGGTGTATTTAGATAATAAATTCTAGATGCATAAATGACTTATAACACTTACAAAAACAAATCACAGAATATTATCAGAATACAATTGGTAAAGCATAGTTAGGAACAATGAATAGGCTTAATTGTGATGAGACACTCAATAATTATTATGAATGATGAGATTCATGATGTTAATTACTCAATTATGCTAATTTAATCAAAATACACTAATAAATTGAATAAGATGCAAAAAAAAAAATTAAAAGCTAGAAGTAAAAATTAATGAATTTCCTTATTAAATTTAAAAACTTTCTGAGAAACCAGAAGGTAACAAGCATTTGTATTTTTTACTAATGTTTCTTATAGAGTTATTTGCACAAAAATGCAGACTTAGCAATTCTAATATTAGAGGGCTTGTTGTTGTTATTTAAACTCTGTTAGTCTCAAAAACATATATATACCTTATATAAAATAAGATCCTTTAAATATAGTTTTATAGTACACTCTATGTTTTAAAGTAACTTAACATAGATATTCTTTATTGAATATTGTTGCTGCCACACTTATTTTAAAAATATAATAGCACTTTTAATATTAACATAATAACACAACTAAAAAGTTTATATATTCATATATCATTCAAAACCATGCAACACCAAGTGTCCTGAGCAACACCAAGTGTCCTGAGCAAATCTTGATAAATAATTAATAAGAGCACACCAATTGACAGTATGATTTTTTGGTTCAAAAACAAAAACTATACAAAAAAATAAATAAAAAATATAATATATAAAAAAAATATATATATATATAATAATATATAACATATAAACATTCAAAAAATATATGCAATGTGTAAAAAACATAAAATTTATATAATATATAAAAAAATATTATGTAATATATAAATTATTTAATATATATATAAACAATTTTACTAGTTTAAATATTATATTTCAAAGAAAATACAGGTAATCCTCACCTGGTACGACTTACAGTTCTCCGAAAGTTTTTCCACTTTATGTTTTAGTTTGTTTTGCTCTACCAACAAAAGATATCTGTCTTGACGTTCCCGCTCCAGACCTTCTTTTTCTATGGCTATATATCTCTCTATTTCAATCTTATGGGATTTCTCATTTAACTGAAGATTTTTAATAACTTCTTGCATATTTTCTAGATCTTGGTGAGAAATGGCTGCATCATGTGCAAGCTGTTTTAATTTTTGTTCACTGTGTATGTTATTTGTTTCCATTTCTTGAATTTTCTAAATATCAAAATTTTAATTCAAAAAATTTTATTTAAAAAAAAAATGCTTTTTAAACATTTTTTAAAATATTTAAATGTGAAACAATATAAATTGTATAAAATAACAAACAAAAAACAAATTATATGTTTAATAAAATACTTCTTTTAGCCTCTCAATGTGTTCATTAAGTCTTTCTACACTGACTTTCTCATTTGTCTCTTTACTTCGGCTTTTAAGAGAAGCTTCTATTTCAGCTTTGTAATCAATTTTTTCTTTTAAAAATTTTGTTTCCTGTTGTTGGGAGGCCAGTTTGAATTCATGGTCATCTTTAAGCTTTTCTGATTCTTGTTTTAGCTTTTTTATTGTAGTCTCCAGGTTATATATTGTTGCATCTTTTTCTTTAAGGTTACACTCAAGTTTTATTAGCTTTAAAACAAGATGTACTGGCTCTGGAAACCCAATCAAATCTAAAACCAATATTAAAATGTAAAACTTGCTACTATATTTCTATTACATTTAAAAAATATATATAAATATATATACAGGGCTCAATTTAATGGTCGGATATTGCCGCCCCCTGGACTGTTTTTGAGATTTGATATATGGGGGCAACCAACCATTGTTTATTTTTACTGAAAAAAATCAATAATTGTTTGTTGCCCTTCTCTAGCAGATTTCAAGAATAATCCAAGGGGCAGCAATGTCCGACTGTTAAATTGAGCCCTGTATGTGTGTGTGTGTGTGTGTGTGTATATATATATATATATATATATATATATATATATATATATATATATATATATATTTGAATGTAGACATCATGTATGAGAGTATGTAAATTATTATTTTATAAACATCAATAAATACGATTTTCTCTCAATACTAAATTTATTTTTTATTTTTTAAAAGAAATTTTCGCTAGATTGTTGTGACCAGCGTCTTCAGCTTAAAAGATTTTGTTTGTTTTTGTTTATATGTTATTTTTAAACAGCAAATTTATTATATGTCAATAGAATGGTTTCGTCTTTTTCTGATGTAAGTGCATTAGAAATGGTGTCCAGAATTTTGTTGACACATATTGTCCCTCATCTAAATTGATACCACTTTGTTGAGGGGCACATTGTTGGTACTGTATTTCAAGTGCCTCACGAACTTTCCTATCAAACTTTTTGTTATTGACTTTTAGAGTTCTGCAACTGTCCCAGTTAATTTGTTGTGCACAATGTTTCATGTGTGTGGCTAATGCTGATCTTTCTGTTTTATTTCCTATTGTACTGTTTTTGTGTTGTTGCATGCGTGTTTTTATTTGCATTTTTGTTTCAACAATATACTTTTTGTTACAATGACACTTAATAAGGTAAACTCCTGGGTGGCTGTTCCTTTGTAGTTTGGATTTATTTCTTGAAGTCAATATTGCTTCTAGGTTTAAGTTTGATTTGAAGACCGTTTTATATCCTACCTTCCTAAACACTTTACGCAATTTGGGAGACAATATTGGTACCCAAGGTAATGAAATTGTTGGATACGTACTGGTGATGTTGTCAATGTTTTTAGTAGTCACTAGAGGTTTTTTGTACTTTTGTTTTATTTCTTTTATGATTTTTATGAGATTGGAATATTTGTAACCATTTTCAACAAATACTTGAATAAGGAATTTCAGTTCATTTTCTATATGTTTCTGACTGCATACATTAAATGCTCTATGTACAAAACCCTTGAATATTCCATTTAAAATTTGTGGGTCATGGTTTGATGTTGCCTTAACTTGAATGTTAGTAATTGCATTTTTTCTGTGTATTTTAAATTCGTATTTGCCATTTTTGTTATTTATTATGCATAAGTCTAGAAAATTTAGTGTTTTTTTGTCATTTTCAAATTCGATTGTATATTGTATTTTTGGATGCTGTTGGTTAAGTATTGTCTTGAATTGATTAGCCTGGGCAATGTTAGGGACTCTAGCATGGCTGTCATCTACGTATCTATAAAATGATTTTATGTCAATAATCGGGTTGGTTTTCAGCGCTATATTAAGCGCTCTTTTTTCAAGATTTTGAAGAAAAGATTCAGCTAAAACTACCATAAAAGAAAGACCTATTGGACCTGAATTTTCAAGTTCATGTATTTTATTGTTCCATAAAAAGTATGGTCGGTATTAACATAGTTCTATCAGAGTTTTTTTAATTCTTTTATATTTAATTTTGTCATTTTTTTTTAAATTATCGCTCACCTCCTATATACTTATGAGTACATCAGTTGCTTCTGAACATCAAAAAAGTCTCCTTAACCTTGGACCAAAATTTGTACCAACAACAAAGTCTCTTCCGTATCTTGACATAACTCAATAACTCTCAATAACTGAGTCTCAATAACTGAGTCTCAATAACTGAGTCATCTGCTCTAAAACTTGAGTACAACAAAAAAGATGAAGCTGCACAAACTCTGAGGAGAGAAGTTTTGAGAGAATTAAAACTAAATAAAAATAATAAAAATGACAACCTGACTCGTCAACAACGAAAAGCACTTACACAACTAAAAAAAGATAACAATATTGATATATACCCATTTGATAAAGGAATAGGCTTTGTAACAATCCCTTATGATAAAGCAATAAAAAAGATTCGAGAACAAATTGGGCTAACTAATCTTTTAAAACTAATTCAAAATCTTGAAAAAAGAGCGCTTAATATAGCGCTGAAAACCAACCCGATTATTGACATAAAATCATTTTATAGATACGTAGATGACAGCCATGCTAGAGTCCCTAACATTGCCCAGGCTAATCAATTCAAGACAATACTTAACCAACAGCATCCAAAAATACAATATACAATCGAATTTGAAAATGACAAAAAAACACTAAATTTTCTAGACTTATGCATAATAAATAACAAAAATGGCAAATACGAATTTAAAATACACAGAAAAAATGCAATTACTAACATTCAAGTTAAGGCAACATCAAACCATGACCCACAAATTTTAAATGGAATATTCAAGGGTTTTGTACATAGAGCATTTAATGTATGCAGTCAGAAACATATAGAAAATGAACTGAAATTCCTTATTCAAGTATTTGTTGAAAATGGTTACAAATATTCCAATCTCATAAAAATCATAAAAGAAATAAAACAAAAGTACAAAAAACCTCTAGTGACTACTAAAAACATTGACAACATCACCAGTACGTATCCAACAATTTCATTACCTTGGGTACCAATATTGTCTCCCAAATTGCGTAAAGTGTTTAGGAAGGTAGGATATAAAACGGTCTTCAAATCAAACTTAAACCTAGAAGCAATATTGACTTCAAGAAATAAATCCAAACTACAAAGGAACAGCCACCCAGGAGTTTACCTTATTAAGTGTCATTGTAACAAAAAGTATATTGTTGAAACAAAAATGCAAATAAAAACACGCATGCAACAACACAAAAACAGTACAATAGGAAATAAAACAGAAAGATCAGCATTAGCCACACACATGAAACATTGTGCACAACAAATTAACTGGGACAGTTGCAGAACTCTAAAAGTCAATAACAAAAAGTTTGATAGGAAAGTTCGTGAGGCACTTGAAATACAGTACCAACAATGTGCCCCTCAACAAAGTGGTATCAATTTAGATGAGGGACAATATGTGTCAACAAAATTCTGGACACCATTTCTAATGCACTTACATCAGAAAAAGACGAAACCATTCTATTGACATATAATAAATTTGCTGTTTAAAAATAACATATAAACAAAAACAAACAAAATCTTTTAAGCTGAAAACGCTGGTCACAACAATCTAGCGAAAATTTCTTTTAAAAAATAAAAAATAAATTTAGTATTGAGAGAAAATTGTATTTATTGATGTTTATAAAACAATAATATATATACAGTGGTTTTCATAAATTTAGACGCACTCATATTTGAGAATAGAAATTTTTAGTTTTTCAACGATAAAACAATGACGAAAAAAGATTTTGGTTTAGTTTTTTTTCTATTTATTAGATAAATACATACAGAATACAAAATTTAAAAAAAGTTTACAAAAAAAAATGAAATACTAAGTAATAATTAGGTACAACTACATGTTATTAAAAGAATTAGACAAAAAAAATTATTCATAAATTTAGACGCACGATACATTAGAAGGCGTAATTTATAAACCAATCAATATTTTGTCTATCCGCCTTTTGCTTTAATACAACTAAGAACTCTTCTAGGTATAGACTCAACAAAATTTTTGCACATCGCTTCTGGGACCCCATACCAGGTCTCCTTAAGGAATTCCTTCAGCTGAGTAAGTGTGGAAATTTGAACCTTTGCTAATTCACGGTCAATCCAAGCCCAAATGTTTTCAATCGGGTTTAAATCAGGTGAGTATAAAGGCCACGGTATTGCCATGATACTATTATCGTTGAACCACTCCTTTGTATAGTATGCAGTATGTGCAGTAGCGCCATCTTGTTGAAGTTTCCATGGTTTATCATTGAGCATAAGCAGGTCAATTGATGGAATTAAGTTGTTTTCCAGTACTTATACGTATATTCTGGAGTTGATTCTTCCGGTGTATGTTTGGCACATACCAACACCTTTGCAATTGAAGCATGACCAGATTCCTATCGAGCCTCCTCCACTTTGTACAGTCGGTCTAATGTACCTGGCGTAATACTTTTCATGAGCCATTCTTTTGACTGTTATGTTAGATTTGCGATTGATAAGCTCAAAGTTACTCTCATCACTCCACATAATGTTTTCCTATTGTTCTATTGTCCAATACCTTCTTTCACGACACCATTTTAGTCTCCTTTGTTTAATATATAAACGCAGAAGCGGTTTCTTTAAAGCAATGTAGACTCCAATCTTGTATTTGATAAGTATTCGGCGGACTGTGCTTTGAGAAATAGATGTATTTCGCGTTGTATTGAATTCTGTGGTTGATTCTTTGTAACTAATTCTTGGATTAGCTCTGACAGCTCTAAAATGAACACTATCGTCCTTTCTGGTGGTTGACAAGGGTCTACCTGGCCTCGTTTTCTCGCTGGCACCACTAGTGTGAAGAAAGTTTTGTTTCGTTGTCCGAATGCATTTCTTAGAAACTCCAATTAACTTGGCGATTTTTCTATTACTTTTGGTTCCTTCTTTGATGTGCGCAATAATTAACTATCAATTAACAAGATATAAGACTTTTTTGGTTGTGCGTCTAAATTTATGAACAAAATAAAATCAAGCTTATCAATTAACTTTTTTGTGTTAATCCGTATAGAATGAGTAATAAACATCCTGTAAAAAAAAATTAAGGTACTCATAAATAGAATTTCACTTCCTCTTGTAAATTATATATCAAACATAGCGGTAGTACTTTTATTTTATTTTTATTTTGAGTATTTTCTTACATATATGAAAATAAAATGAATGCGTCTAAATTTATGAAAGCTACTGTATATATATATATATATATATATATATATATATATATA